AACGGCATCGTGGTGGGAGTTGATGTTTTTGAATGAGGAGAGTGGGGAGGTGCTATCTGCTTTGAATCGCAAGGAGGTGGGTGGGTTTTGCGGGGTCTCTGCCTGCAGATTGGGGGCCTGCGGGCACCGACCCCTGCCGCGGGTGGCAGAGCGGATTAGCAGGGGGGTTGGTCGTAACTTTGGATGAAAAGTGGTCATCATCAAGCAATGCTGACCTTTGGTTCTTCTTTGTTCTTTTGATTGCCTTTGTGTACGTTTTCTTTTATGATCGGTGGAATTAGGGTTATTAATTAGGATTTGTAACTTCGTTGAATTTTTAGGATAAGGGAATTGGAATGTTAGTGATGAGTTTAAAATAAAAAATAATAATAATAATAATAATGGGCCAGTTAGAAGTAGAAGTTACCATTTGTTGTAGACTTCTTACTTGCTTTCTTACTTTCTTACAGTTTGTTGTAGACTTCTTAGTTGCTTTCTTACTTTCTTCCTTTTTGGGACTCTGCGATTCCTGATATGGGCTTGGCCGGTGATGCCTCTCTCATAACCGGGAGCCCCCAGCATACATGTGAGGGACCCCGGGCCCGTTTCCCGGCTTGTATAATATGACTCTTCTTTTTGTAAAAAAAAAAAAAAAAACAACAACAACAACAGGAGAAGTCAAGCACTTGATTGTGGTCTAAAACGACCTGTTTCTCCAATCATGCTCAGTCATCTTGGCTATGCGCTGAAGTTTTTTTTTTTTTTTTTTTCGATTTATGCGTGTTATCCTTGTGCAGGGGCCATGCTAATCTTCTCTGTATCGTTCCAATTTTAATGGGTCCCGAAGGACTCTTTTTTTTTGGGGGGGGGATATGCGCTGAAGGGTATTTTTTTTGGGATATGCGCTGAAGGATTGGGTGTGGGTGGCCGCTGAAGGGGGTTCATAGAAAATGCCGAAAGGAAAATAAAAAACGTAAAAGAAAACATAAACGAAAACAAGCCGAAAGTGGGCGCGCTGAGTACGTAGGTCGGAGGGACACACGTGTGACTTGCGTTCAGATTCATCCTAGAAAACTGACTGAATCTGACTGTCGAGGGCGTCCAGATTCATTCTGGAAATATGACGGCGTTCCGAAGTCATGGATCCAGTGGAAGAGGCGCTCAGCTGAGGGAGTGCGGAAAACTGCACGGTAAAGGAACGAAGAAGAATTTGCCATCGTGCTGTTGGAATCATCGATGGTCGTCCAGGTGACGCTATCATCGTCCGCCGGTTCTCCGTGTGCTCTGCATCCCAGTTTGTCGCTGCCCGTTGAATCAGAGCGTAGGTTGACGTCATCGTCGATGGCGTGATCTTCGTGAAGCTTACTGATTCGTGCCGTTTTTCCCTGCCGATTAGATGAAGAGAGGAGGGAGTGGTCATGTGATTGGGATCTATCGCCTAGTTGGAATGGGCCAGTAGAGGCAGTACATGGAGGGGAGCTCACGGGGACGACGGGGTGGAAGTGGGGGTAGGTAGCGATTCATCCCTTCCATTGTCACCGGAAGCTCCTCATATCGGATGATCCGGTGGAAGCGAGGGAAGTGATGGCCGCTATGAGGGAGGGAAGCGAGGTAGGAGAGGGTGCGGAGGAGCGCCGCTCGAAAGAACTCGTAGTGGCGACAGGCGGGGATTGTCCCCGTGGCTACGCAGTAGACTTCTACCACGTTGCATCCCTCCCATGCAGCGCTGATCAGCAGGATATGCCAGTAGAACGTGGGGGCAGCGGGCTGAAGGGATGGGTGGGGGTAGACGGTAGCGAGTAGGCGGGTAGAGTAGAAGTCGCGGAAGAGATGGGGAAGGAAGGGATGGAGGGGAAAGCTGACGGGGGTGCGGATCTGTTCGAGGGTGAGAAAATCAAGGGGACGGCGGGATAACGTCCGAGGACGAAGGCCTATCGCCCGCATTGGTACATGGGCGAACTAAGGGACGGGTGGGGCTGGAGGAGGAGGGGGATCTGCTCCGTCTCCGTCCTGAGGTGCTTGGGGAGGCGGCTGCGGGGTCGCCATCTTCGGGCTTCGGCGGCTCCGGATTCTTGGTCAGATCGTCACCGATGTGCAGGCGGACTCCGCTGGCTAACTCCAGTCGACGCTTCCCGGTGGCGATTTCTTCCCGTTTTCGTGCTGCCTCCGGGTCTTCCGCTTCTGTGCCCGTGCGCGCAGCTTCCTCCGGCAGGGCTTCCCACTCAGATCCGGTTTCTTCTTCCTCCTCTTCTTCTTCACTCAGCTCACCCTCACTATACTCACTATAGCTTCCTTCCTCCGACGTTTCCTAGTCGTTGTCTTCTTCGTCGTCGTCGATCACCACTTCCCTCGCCTTCGGATAAAAGGCGTGAGGGATGATGTCGTAAGGCTTCAGGTACTCCTGCCGTGATGGTAGCGTATCTTCGTCCCTGGGTTCCTCCAAGCACGCAGTCCACTGAAGGTACGGATCCAACGACCGCTCGAGAACGTACGGAGCGGGGCTGTCGTCATTTTGCGAAAAGATGTCGGGCGAGAGATCGTCCGCTAATTGTACGATCGGCGCGATGAACTCCTGCGCAATCAACTTGTGACGGCCCGGCCGTACCGATCCAAAGAGAAAGCCGAGAAGGTCGCCCTCGACGTTAGTTCTCCAAGCTTGTATGATCAGCAACTCCACATTTTCGACCCACGCGGGATTTTCGCTGGTCTGCGTCCACGTCACCTGTACTCGGGCCAAGCAGAAGGACAGCTCGTCAAAAGCTTTGCGCCATTGTCGCCAATGCCCAGGATTAATAAGCGGGACAGAAAGAGGCTCGAACGAGAAGGAAAGAGAAGGATGAAGATCAGACTGCCAGAAGGTGGGGAAAAGAGAGGAGAGACCGAAGATGGAGAGAGGAGCGAGGGGATCGGCGTGGTTCATTGGGGACGTGGGAAAGGGACGAGGGTGGGGATCGCCACCGGCGGCTCGTGCGGAGAACGGCGGATCTCGCCAAGATCCGATGCAAAGGTCGAGATGAGGTTATGCCCTGGCCGGGCAAGACCGTGCTGCCACACGTTGGACACCTGCTCCGTCCACTCTCGCAGCGAGGTCAAGATCGTGGTATGCCACCGTGGATTGAGCGAACTGATGTCGCCGCTAAAAGCCGCAACCGTGGTGACGTGGCTCGTTCCGGGAGCCGCTCGCCGATGAACTGCTATTACCTCTGCCAGTACCACTGCCTGTGAGCTCCCTTCGAATCGAAACGCGGCGGCGGCACACACACCCACGCCGCAGAAGAATTGCGCCAAATGCCGAACATCCGTATTAAGTCGTGGATGGCGGACTTGCCGAATTCCTGAGATGTGGCCACGTGGCTGCAACAGCTGTTCGTCGAGAGCCTGCTGCGTGATGAAACTCATGGCGAGGTCGGAGAGGAAGACGAAGGGCAGGAGGGAGAAAGCGGCGAGAGAGTTAGATCGTCGTCGTTCTCCTCGCTTTCGGAGGAGGGAGAGGGAGGAAGATGAGAGGGAGGAAGAGGACGAAGGTAGGAGGTATGTCGGACGATGGGGACAGAGCTATGGCTGGCAATAGCCTCCGGCGAGATGCGCACCGTGTTGGCGCCGTTAGGACCGAGCTTGACAACGCGAAAGCAGCCGGAGAATTTGGGAGCGAGTTTTCGGTCACGTGCACATTTGCGTACCTGCATTAGGTCCCCTAATTTATATTGATGCTGGGGCCCAGCATTTCCATTCCGAGCCTCGTAGCTACGGACCTGCCTACCATGGGCCAGATCGGTCATCCTTTGTCTTTTTCGGGCTAGCCTCGGGACGGCCCGCTCCATTAATTCGGTGTACCTTTTGGCCTTGGCCTTGAGGGTTGTATGCGTGTCTCTCTACCCCCTGCTTTGGCAATTTTCGAGTTACCCCGGTAGTCGACACAGGGGAGGCTATTAGTACGAAGTTGAAAAGGGGTAAACCCCGTGGATTCGTGAGGGGTAGCCCGGTGGATCCCGACAATCTGATATATAATTTCGGGCCACGGACGCGTGTCGTGTGCCGCTAAATTCCTGTGAAGGGCGGTTTTAATCATACGGTTGGCATTCTCAGCCAATCCGTTCGACTGGGACACGTGGGGTGCAGTATGTCGGAGTGTGACGCCCCTTCGTGCGAGCAGTTCCTCTACTTCTGCCTTAAATTCGGACCCATTGTCGGTTAGAATTTCCTCCGTATCTAGATGGGTATAGAGGAACCGTTCGATGTACGTGGCTATTTCTGCGGCCTCTCTGGTCTTACAGGGATAGACCTCAATGTACTTGGAAAAATGGTCTATTAACACTAACATGATAGAATATTCACAGCGATTTGGGCCAGGTGGCACGTCGATATTTGTTGTGTCCGTACTGACTCGTTGGAAGGGGCGCTCTACTTCCGTTGGTACTATCGTGTTTGGTCCCCGTATTGGGGCGCGATCAGCGGCACAGACCAGACAGTTGGCGACAATTTATCTGACATCATCTCGTATGTTGGACCAGAACCATCGGTTCTGGTCTATAGTTGCCTCCGTGACACGTATCGCGAAATGGGCGGCCTGTTCTTCGTGAGCCGATCGGATCCAATCATATCTCTGGAATGGATGGGGAACCGTCAACCACGAACCCGATCCGTCAGTTTTACGCTTCTCCAAATGACCGTTGATCCACCGATAGTCCCTAGATCTCTCGGTTGCCCTACGTCTGTCGTGTTTGGTGAGGTGTCCCAATGATAATTCCGCTAATTTCGCCAATAAAATTTTATCCATCCAAACCTCCGCTCGCTGGTATTTTTCGTCATATTCAGGGCCGTCCGTACGGGCGACCTCGAATCGAACCTCCGTGGGGAGTTTGTTCGTTCTACACAGGGGGCACCTCCATTCCTTGCTACTCATCCGATATCGAACACAGGCCCCGTGCGCACGATTGACACACGTGGCACATTCTACCCAATCGACAAACCCGGTTTCGAAAGGATGACAGTCGACCCCATAAACCCGTGCAATACACGTACAAAAATAGCAGAATTTATCGGGGAGGGTGGCAAAGAAAGCTAAGGAAGTGAGAGGGGCAGAATTAGTAGGAGAAGAAGGGGTTGCAGAGACAGGTGGGGTAGTCATGATGACAGAGGAGGAGAGATGAGACCGAATTGCGAAGAGGGTAGAATCAGACAAATTGATCCTCGTGTCACTTACTGCTTCAACAAGATCTCCACTTGGTCGTACCGAGGTCCAACATCCTGTTCGGGTTCGTTCCACGGAATCACCTCCTCACTCTTCGGAACTTTCTCAAGCCGGTGCAGTCGTGTCAGTCCGTCCGCATTCCCGTGTCTCTCGTGCTTCCGATGTCGAATGTCAAAGTCCATGCTCTGTAGCACCGTTGCCCATCGCCCGATTATGCCAGAGTAATCCTTCGATTTTTTCAGAGCCAACAGGGGCTCATGATCGGTTACCAAGGTGAACTTCCACCCGTACAGGTAAGCGCGAAAGTGACTGATTCCCCAAAGAGCCGCATAGCATTCTCCCGTCGGAGCGGCGTAGTTGCACTTGCAGGCGGGCACCGATTTGGACGCATACTCCACCACGCTCTCGAGTCCACTTGGTTCCACCTGGGCAAGGATCGCCGAGATCGCCTCTGGCTGCCCGTCAATGATGAGAACAAAAGGTTTTTCGGGATCCGGTCTTATAAGGACCGGAGCCGAAATGAGAGCGGCCTTGAGTTTCGAAAACGCTTGATCACACTCCGGCGTCCAGATCAACGGCTGATCTTTGCGCAGCAGATTCGTGAGGGGTCCCGCGATTGCCGCGAAGCCTTTGATAAATCTTCGGTAGTACGAGGCCAGGCCCAAGAAGGCGCGAACTTGCGTGATAGTCGTAGCCATCGGCGCATCTCTGACAGCTGCCACCTTTTGTGGCTCCGGTTGGAGTCCCTTGTCTGTTACCACGTGTCCTAAGAAGGAAATGGTGGTAAGAAAAAACTGACACTTCTCAAGCGTCACCTTGAAACCCGCATCTCGTAACGCATGCAGAGCCCACTCGATGTGTTGCATGTGTCCCTCGTAGGAACTCGAGTCCACCAGAATGTCATCCATGTACACAATCACACAGTAGTTGATGATGCTCTGCGCCAAACGAGTCTTCCGTCCAAAATTCTGAAAAGCCATATTCATGGCTTGTTGAAAGGTCGCGGGGGCGTTGCAGATACCCATCGGACATAGAATTCACTGCCACGTACCTTCGAAAAGCACAAACGCCGTTTTCAGACGATCTTCTTCTCGGACAAGAAGATGATGGAACCCATGGCGAACATCAAACTTACTGAAAAATCGAGCACTCCCAATCGCATCCAACAACTCATCAATCCGGGGGAGGGGGTACACATCCTTGATCGTGATATCATTCAATTTTCGATAATCAATGCAAATGCGAATCCCTCCGGCCTTTTTAGGCACGATCACTACGGGAAAAGACCATGGACCTATAGCGGGTTCGATCCATCCATTAGCTTCGAACTCCTTAATCCGCTGAAAAGCGGCCGCTCATTGAGCGGGCGAGTATCGGTAAGGAGCGCAGCTAATGGGCAGATGTTCTCCCGTGACGATGGCATGCTCGATCACGTTAGTCAAGCCGATATCATTATCATGTACGCTCAGCACCTCTGCATAAACATTCAAGACATTGATTAGTGACTTTCGAAGTTTCATGGGGACATGGCTTGGTAGGGTAATTGTTGATTCCCCAGGAGTCTTAAGGGGTATATCGATCCAATCAACCAGCCGCTCCGTTCGATCGTAGACACTGGAAAATACAGAACTACTGGTGCGAACAGAAAAGACAGTCGCAATCATCTGTGATTCTGCGGGGCTGATCATTTCAGTTTCTTTAGTTTCGGCGTCAGTTTCTGAGTCGGCCGAAATCTGCTCTACAGTCAGTCCTGTTAGGTCCGTCATTTCCGGCATTAGATCAAACACGTCATCTACTGGTGCTTCTGCTTCCTGTTTAATCAAAGCGATGGTCGCCTCCGTTGTTAATAACGATCTGGGCGGGAAAACCGAAACGTCTAGATACGGTTCCGTTTGTTGATAACGTGTTCGCAAGGAAAGTGCTCCCTCGTACAAGGTACGAGGGGGTTCCAAATCATCAGCCGAGTCAGATACTTGTAATATGGGTTCCCCGAGGAGGACTGAAGGACTGACCTGGGCTTTCGGAGGGCAAGCGTGCTGTCTCTTGAATCCACGTGGAAGCTTCGGGCAATGTCGGGGCACACTCGAAATTCTTCGGGAATTTCGTGTTCGAAAAGTTCGACCAGGTGCTTCCATTCATCCTCACTAGGCAGTTTTTCTTCGTATTCTTGTTCCCCGATTCCGCTGCCGATGTCCGAGGAAGAATACTCCTCGGTATCAATGCATCGAATCATCCCTATTTGGCCTGAGTTAGGAGTTCGTTTTATCATTCGGGTGGAAATTCGCAAGGGAATAGTTTGAGGCTTTCCCCCAGTTTGCGTGAGTACCAATTGTTTCGAATCGAAATGCAGACGGGCCCCTACCGCCATCGCCCAAGGTAATCCTAACAACACAGAATAGGAGCGCACATCTATTACTAGTGCGTTAGCAAGGACGTGTACTCGTCCGACCTTCACAGCTACATTCTTAATAACACCCACGATGTTCATTGCTTCCTCGTCGGCAGAGAAATAATTGTCTTTGCCAGATTGAGGAAGAATGGATCCGAGTCGTCCCGTCTTTCTGACAGTATCTAATGATATGGCCACTGCAGAAGACCCTGTGTCGATAAGGGCGTTAAACGACTTGCCCCAAACTTCACAATCACATTCCGTGCTCTTCCATAGTATCGGTCGAGCTCGTACGAAGTGATCCTTTTCTGCTAAACAGATCGCTGCTATTCGTGCAGCTTCGGGCTCGCCGGCTTCGGGTTCGGTCGGTGCAACTTCCTCGCCTTTCCTTCTTTTTCAACATTCGCTGTATGCGTTGGTACGTGAAGCGCTTTTGATTTTTCTGACATTGTTGTAACAGTTTGTCGTTTGCAGCTTCAAATATGGTGAGCAAGTGTCCCATCGGGATCGGAACGCGGATATCTAGCTGCTTGAGCGCTCGTAACACATCGATTTCGCTCGTCCTAAACTGTGGACCAGGATTAGAATCGCGATCGACCCACTCGAGATCATCAGGGGCCGATCGGATCGCTCCGATCATGCCTGCGAGATGAAGATACTCAAGTGGATCGACCACGTCAGCAGCGTCAGAGGAAGAGGCTCCCGATGTCGAAGTCGTTGCCATCGAGGGGAAAGGCTGTTCTGGGGCATATGCCACGAGCTCTCCTCCTTAGGCCGTGTCCATCAATGCGGTCATTCGTCCTTGGTTTAGAGCAACAGGGGCCGCAGCCGGTGGGGGATGATTGCGCTTTGGCTGCGAACAGTCTCGGGCGAAATGTCCGGGCTGTTTGCAGTTAAAACACTCGATCTTTCCTGCTCGATTAGCTGGGTGAGGGAACTGAGGTGCGTATCCTGGTGCAGGTGGGGCAGGCAAGAGAGGAAATGACGCGGGGGCAGGCCGAGCAGGGGCCGGGTTAGGCTTAATTAGCCTGCTCATTATCTGTTCCATCCGCTCCATGTGAGCGACCTGCATTTGGATCAAGTTGCTCATCCATTCGGACTGCTTGGTAGTGGCCGTATGGATCATTTGGGCAAGATGTAAGTTGGTTATGGCCGCCGAGGGGAGTTCGTGGGAGATTCCGCTCTTAACTGCCGCTATCTATTGATTCGTCGGGGGAGAGGAAGAGGAAACAGACGGGATATCGGAAACGATCCGGTCGGGAAGGTCGTGGTCGAGGCGGGGATAAAACTGTTCTACCGCCCGCAACCCCGATCTCCTTTTAGCCGCTACATCCTATATGGTATCTGTAATATCTCCGTCTCCCTGACTGATATATTTTTTTGTATCAGCCATGTCCAGTTTCAATGCTTTAGCGATGATAGCAGACAGCTGGTGTGTCTTCAGGGGGACCTTTTTCTATAACTTTCCTTTCAACGTCGGACTTCGTAGATGATCAATGACCAAATCTCGAGCGGACTTCTCATCTCGCCCAGATTTGTCCAACGTGGTTTGAAATCTATCCACGAAATCGGGCAGCAATTCCCCTGGTCCTTGTGGCCGAGTTTTGAGCACGTAGCAGGCGGCACCTTCACTGACCGTATCAAATCGAGCCAAGAAGGCTTGTTTGAAAGTATTCCAATCTACCCATATATGCTTTCTAAACCAGTCATGTGACGTATTACGGAGTAGCAAGGTAAGAACACGGAGAAAATCACCCGCGCTATAACCTTGAGCTTCAACGGCTTCCAGCCAAGCTTCGGGGTGGGTATGATTAGGGAAGAAGGGGAAAGGGGCAGGAATGGTAACGATCACCCTATTATCGTCTACCATCGGTATAGCCGGTATAGCCGCACCAGATATAGATCTGGTCACTGGTCAATCTCGGTGAGCGGGTGAGGGATTTCTTCTACCTCTCGCCAGCTCGACTTGCTATCATCAAAACCGACACGTGTCGGCTCCGATACCAACCTCACGCCCTGTACTGTCTTTCGTTCGGAGTGCTAGATGTGCGGAAAGAGGCCCAGAAAAAACAGCAAGATGGGGTGTGCCAAGGATTTTTGGAAATTGAGTGTGGGGACACAGACGGAACAGAGATCCCCCGTGTTGGTCCGATGAAGTAAGTCGATCGTTTTTCGAGTGGCGCAAAATGCGCGCGGAAGTTTGGCGCGAAAAAAGAGAGAAATACAAATTCAATCCAGGAAATATTATCAGACTTCCCACCTGGCGACGGCCCGTCGTTTAGAACAGAAGGGCTTCGGCACGCTTCGAGTGTCTCGCTTTCGTATCAAGTCCCGTTATCGTTCACTGACCAGTTCTGAATCCGACGTGGAGGGTCTTAATCGCGTGGCTCTTTCTCTATGTTCGTCCTCGCTCCGCACACGGTAGTGGAAACCCCTGGATTCGTAGCGCTCAAAGCGCTGGCATTCGATGCATAGAGTGCGCGGCCAGTGGGGTTCTACTGCCGTCCACAGGATGACTATCAACTCGTTAAATGGCAACAATATCGAGTAGGGTGGGAAGTGTGTATCGATAATGACAAACTCGGCCTCTACGAACCTTGAACAACGTTTTGCCGGAGGGAAGTGGTATCGTCCGCCGATCTGTGCGACAGCTTCTCGTACGTCCCACTCGCATACACGTGTCCTTTCCTCGTTGTAGGGAAAAGGTCATGTTGATACGGGAGGTACGGGAGGCTGACGCCCGATCGAAGGGTGCTTGTCAGTCCACATGTCCATCAATTGCAAAAATCCCGAGACTTCATCAAGGAAAAACACTCGCGCAATCTCCAACCAATCCTTTTCGAGAGAGAGAGAGAGAAAAAAAAAACACGCATCAACTTGATCATGCATGTAACTAAGGGACCGACCCGCGACTCAGGTTCCCGTGTGTTGATCCCAGGCGCCTTATTTCTTGAGGCTGCCCTGTAGATCGGCTGCAAATGTCGTGCAGCATAAGGCAGATGGCATGCGCAGTGCATTCAGAACTATAGATCTAAACACTCTTGCATTCTCGAACAAAATCCCAATAACAATCGTCTAATCAACGCAAAAAGACGCGTTCCTCCATACATACATTCACTGTGGAAGGTGCGAAAATGAGATATGCACAGGGATAAAAGATGGATCGCTGAATAATACACACGCATCCACCGTTCACAAGACAAGGAGTCGGGGTTCTTTGCATAGGGGTACTACCCAGGAAACTAATGGAAGTGTTCCGGAAGAAGTTCTTTCACACAGGAACAACATGCAGACTCATTCCCATTTGAGAGAGAGACAAACATCGAGACACATCATCATTCAAAGATAGAGGAGAGAGAGGGAGACGAGTGAGGAATGTCGAGATAGAAGAGGACAAGATCCGAAAAGAGAAAGTTCGGTGTTGCCTCCGTACACTCACGCCAGAGATACGTTTGCATTACGAGTCGATATGAGTAGGCCCTGCGTCCGAGCGGTTTTATACTAAGCCTCGCGAGCGACGCCTATCCGATTTCCGCATCGGAAAGTTATGGGTTGGCTACCGAGGGGCTAGGAGCGTTGTCGCATTGTTTGTGTCGTGTCGTTTCGTATATGTGTGTGTGTGTGTGTGTTTTATTTTTG